TTTTTTTTTTTTTTTCGCTCCTTTATTCTCATTAAACGAAGTTTTCGCATTAAAACCTATTGAACCAACAATAAAGTTTCCAGATGAAATCAGTGAAAAAAAGCAAACAAAACTGAAGAGATATTTCCATTTAACTACTAAATAATAAATGACACAATAAACGACAACGATTTTCAATTCAAAAACTTTCACTGTACACCACCATCATCAACAGCATCCCACAACCACCTATTGTCCCATATCTATCAAGTTCGTCTTGCAGCAAACACCATGATACTACCACTGTGATATAGCCACAGAAACATATTTAACAATCATACTTTTGACCAAACAAATATATAAATTGATTAAATATATATACTGTTTGAATACAGGTAGCAAACTACTTACCAGGATTTTTGTTTCGACTTCCAACAGGTATGTAGTCCTTTTTCTCCGTTTCTCCTTTTCTAAAAAAAAAACAATCGAGCAAATACCGTCAAACGTATCTTCTTTGGGTCGTCGTGAGCCAGCAAAAATTTCCAGGGCAGCAGCTAAAGAGGAGCCCCGGTTATGTAAACCCCTAAAACTGGTAAGATGATAAACGAAGCCAGAAAACACACATACGCAGCAAGCGGAAAAGAACTGTTTTAGAGGCTGTCAACGGAGAGTTCTGAATTACGCTACATAAACAAATAGACCATAATGCAACAGTGTCTACTATCTCCTCGTATTTACTGTCCATCAACTCCGCTTATCCACCCCTCCAAATTTTCTCCAACCATTCCGTTCCTCTACCCTTCACTCAGCTTTTTCCTGACTCTCTTTGGACTCCCTCTACCGAGTCTCAGTAAAGCGAGGAAATAATACGAAAAAACATCAATAATAGGAGCGAATGCAAAGCATTTAGAAAAGAATGAGAAACAGAACGAAATATACTCTACATAATGTTCCTTCTACAATTTCCCCCTCTTTTTTCTCTCTCATTTTCTTTCGCCTTCTTAGAACAAACAGAAAATTCGAGTTGCTGAAAAAATGGAAAAACAGTACTCAAGTAATAAGTTAGGAAAAACAATTTCTAGATTTAACAAATGAAAAATAGTATAGTTAGAGAGGGAAGGCATGTATCTATTTATATTCGCAATTCGCAAATGTTTTCGCCCAGAAATAGTAGTAATAAATCGTAACCACTGTGTGACTTCACAACTACTACAGCGTCGCCCAATAGGAGCCAGCGTATCCGAGTAGAACAAAACTGGAACTGTGCATCGTCGCATGAATTGCGACATATACTTCAGTCTTAAAATAACCACCACTACTTGTCATGCGACTGTCCGAAATCTTCAGTTATCATAATGCAATTGTTATCTCTTCACTTAGACTTGTGTTTAGTGCAAGTCTAATCAAGAAAATTTCTCTTATTTTAATAGCTTTTTTTTTTTCGCAGGCGCCTCATTAATGCTGATAGCAAACAGTCACTTCCAAAAGGTTACTGCCTTAAAATTTTAATATCGATATAGGATTTCCAATCACACTAAAAAAAAGCCAATAAGATTAATGCTACAGCCAAAAAAATGTAGAATATTAAAATCAAGAAAAAGAGGAAGAAAAGGAAGGCAATGACGACAATGACGACGAAAACGACGACAACGACAACGGCGACAACGATGAAGAAAAGTGTTACATTAATAGCTATCGGTCTTTCCAATGTTCGCAAGAGTTTTCACAACTAATGGATGCTGTACAATGAGTTTCATCTAAATTTAACGAAATAATAGACATTAAATTTAATCGCTTTTATTTTTCACCAAAAACAGAATATCCTTCCCTTCCTTCGTCCTAATGACCGGCTAACTGTTTGGAAGAAAAAATTAAAAATTTGCTTTAGTAACAAACTTATTTTGCCGTATCATAATACTAACCCGAAGTGATACGCTTTACACACTGTTACTATAAACACCCTATACTTCTACTCAGATGCCATTTTTGGTAAAGAACTAATGTTATTATTAAAACAGAATGAATGAATCTCAGTTGAGTATGATAATAATTCCAGAACAGTAATATTAAAGATGGAAAAATATAGATACGTCTGAGCGCAATATTTTTGGTAATATTTTAACAGCAGCAACCGCAGTACAAACAATTTTTGAACCAATTTATTATCGTCAAGAAAAAAAAAATTTTTAGAAAATACACAAATAGCCCAGAAAAAAATGTTTTTTTATTTTCAAATTTTGACCAGTTTTCCAAAGTTCACAGTTCCATTATCCAGTAAATTTAATAGGTACACATCATCAAAACGAATGACGATAATGACCAAAGACTGTGCATAACAGTTTCGGCTATGAACACATGCCTAAGATTGTTTGCTCGGCTCAGCTAAGTAAAAGCTTTTAAATCTGCTGCTGCTCACCCAACAAACACTCTCCAGTTCTTCCGTTCCTGTTCAGGAACTTTCAAGAAGTGTCATTCTAACGTCCGAAACAAAAAGATCTGTTGCACGAAGATGAAGTGTACCGGGTTTTTGGTTTATCAAATAAAGAAAAAAACAATCAAACATCCAAAACAAATATGCCCAAAAATAGCGACAAACAGTTTTTTCCCAAATAATTTCGGAGAAGTAAAAGTTCCTGTTCACAAAAACCAGACTTGCAAATCAAAAATTGACGCTCATTCATCTATCTCACACCATTCTCGGTTCTCATAAAACAGAAATATCAAAGACCAGGAAGAGAAAAAAAGACAAAAACAAAAAAATTAAATGTCAGGAAAAAGAAATAGTAGCAGAGAAGAAAAGAAACTAAACGTCCCTCTCTATAAATTTTTTACGTTCATTTACGGACCGGAGTTGTCCTTCTGTTTTGCTGACAGCCAGCCGAGTCACTTGAGGTTCTGTTTCCAATCTCCTCTCGCTTGCAGTTCCACAGAGCAGATAAAGATCGGAAACAACAATAAATAACAACAACAACGGCAACAGTGCCAAAAAAAAGAGCTCATTCTTTTGAACTCAATAAAAAAAACATTGCTTTTCATCCACTCCAAAACAAGCTTTTCTCTATATAATATTAAAAACAATGATATTTCAAAGTCATAATGATATTAGTTGAGGAGTTTCACTAGAGTTATCACTAATAAATTAATACTGCTACTTCTGATCGTATCGAATATCAGCGTTTATTTAATTCGGTACAGTTCAATGTTACAGTGAATCCAACAACAATTCCCCTTTTTTTTTTCTGTTTTCCCACTAACTTAGGTCACAGTATCACTAACTTAGAAATGAAAATGGGAGTACAGCTGTGCAAAAAGAAAAAAAGCAAACTGAACAACAACTAGAAAACTAGAAAAAGAATGAAGGAAAAAAAAACAGAAAAAATGAATAAAATTGGTCATCAAAAAATCTTAGAAAAAAAAAAATAAATAAATAAATAAAATACAGCAGTAATTAACCGTAATCAATTCCTCTTTTTTTTCCTCCTGCAAGAAGAGTACAGTTAAAACTACAAAAAAAAACTTTTTTCTTTCAATATGCTCACAGCTAATAACACTCTCGCAACAGTTCCTCCAAGTCGAACAAAAACATGCAGAAAAAAAAAGAAAAAAACAAACAGATTTTTATTTTCAACAAAGTTTGCTTGTTCTTTGTTCCAATAAGGAATAATCGCTGACAACTGTTAACTGTTATATGCAATTGCGTACTTTACCTGGTAACACAGTTACGGAATATAAAACGAGGTAGGCGAAGAATATGAAAAAAAATGGAGCTTGCGCCAACAAAGAAAGAAAGCAAAAAAAATTGAAAGAAAGAGCGAGAAAACGAAAAATAAAAAAGTGATCAAAATCTTGACCGGAAGCCAGCGAGAGAGCCGGCAAGAAAGGAAGCAAACTCGAAATATTCAGGTAGGATGAAACTTCTGCTTTCTTTTCTGCCACTACATTTGTTTGGTTAACGATCACTGTCCAGCGACAATGAGCTCCAGTTGTCGGCTGCAACCATACTGAAAAGGAAGAATTAAAAGATAGTTGGATTAGTTATAAAGCTGCAGAAGGAAATACAAATCTATCAGTCGTATCATTAATCTTTTACATTATTGTTGTTACTACTCTTAACATTATTATTGTCTTTATTATTATTATTATTATTATTATTATTATTATTATTAATGTTACCTTCCAAAAACTCTATCGCGATCAGCAGTTACGAAGGGAAAAAAGAAACATTCGTCAGGACATAAGCAATGGAATTTCTTACTGACGATTTTTTAAAGGCTACCACTCAAACAGCTTACCATTACTCGCTCACCATGCACTTTTGCCCACCCCGACCACCACCATCACCGTCGTCCAGTTCAATACGAGGTGGTGGCAGAGGGGTGAACGGCTTCTTGTTTTTTATAACTTCATTATCAGTCTTTCAACTGGAGCGCAAACAAAACCGTCAACCCAGCAAACCCAAGCAATCCATCTAACCAACTAACCGACCAACTACCAACTAACCAGCCAACCGACCAATCAAAAAACTAACTAACAACGACTAACAACTATACTCAACCGAACTGACAACGATCAGTGTGAACTACTTGATACATTATTTTTGCAAATATTTCGCCCCAATGGTTGGTAGCGTTTATATTCAGATTAAGATTATGTCCATCGGAAAATTTTCATTTTAATATATAAATTTTGTAATGATAAAAATTTTTGCATACAAAGCCGTAAAAAGTATTAGGAAAAGACGGCAACAAAACTGAATAGACTTTTGTTTGTCTGTAGAAATGTATAGCGTGTGCACTACAATATATGTATGTTACGTTTATATTTGTAGTGGGGAGGGGGGAAGGAAATAGGGGGGTGAAAGGCACGGGGGAGTAGAGAGGGAAAATTTAGGTCAACTAGTGAAAATTTTTTGAACACATCACACCACCCCTTCTCCTCTCCCTTTCTCCTACCAATTCCCTTTCTCTTTTCCTCATTTTTTTTTTATCCCTGTCTTAAAACTGGAAAATGAGAATGGCTTTCATAGACGGAATGAAGAAGAAAGAAGTGAAATTATGCTTTGAAATGGAAGAAATCTGGTTTTTGCGAACGAAATTTTTGCATCGAAGGGGGACCACAAAAATTTTGCCAGTAAAACCTATGAACGATTGATGATTATACTATGCCAAAAATAGCAAAACAAATGTTGTGCAACTTTCCATTTTCTGTCCACTTAACTATCTAATTTCCTCAACTTTTAAATCTCAAAAACTCTCATCTTTAATTAAAAAAAACTTTATTGAGATAGTACCGGATTACATACCTAACTAAAGAATAGTTTATAAACCAGAAATAATGGGTAATGACCATACAGTACTTTCAGCAGCTTAAGACTTCATAGAAAATTTTCATGTTCACTTCAGTGGGTCAGGAGTTATGAACATTGGCTTTAATTAGCCATCATAATCCACCAAACCATTCCAACAACCAATTCACTAAGCCAACAACAATGATTAGTTGTAAAGAAGAATAATCAAGAACAAAAGAAGAAAAAGAAGAGAATTTCTTTCTGCCTTTTTCTTTCTCTTTGCTGATTATTTGGTGGTCCCCTATAAAACCAAAGCAGTAACAATTTTTGACATATACATTTTTTAAACATCACAACAATTTGCTTATGTATACAGTCTAAAAAACAGTTCACAATGAACAATGTTCATATCTAAAAACGAGCCCAAAATTTGCAAAATATTAATAAAAATTGAAAATTTTTTCTTTCCAAATTAAAACGATCAGCCTATCAGTGAAG